TGCAGATTTGAACCCAGGCATCAGGAAGGGCATCCAGCGTAAAAGAAATGCCAAATCTTTTCTGTGAATTTGTTTGCTGTTGCAATCCCTGCCAAATTTTAAAAAGTGCTTAACTGAATATTATTGGTGGATTTTGGGGGGTTCTCTGAATGTTGGAACTAAATTGCAGTGAGCAAAACAACAACACTCCAGAGTCCAATTAGCTACAAGCAACTCTCCCAGGTTCAATCAACCTTAGAGCTCAACTTTACTGACTGAGTTCCTCCATGCTGTCATGTCTTCATTATTCACAAAAGGAGCAAACAGGTCCCTGAAAATCACTTGGCTCTTCTAAAATACTTTCCTCTGGCTTGAGTGCGTATAATTAATCAAAGCTCTAACAAACTATTTGGTCCAAAATGTTAAAAGTTTACTTCTAAATGATTTATAGTCTTTGACAGAAATCTAACTCCTGTCAGTGCAGTAAAAAGAAGTAACACAGTTTTTATTGTCTCATGTTATTCTCCTTTATATATAAATATTAGGGGTGTAAGAAAATATCGATACACTGAAAAATCGCGATATTTCATTTCCCGATACTGTATCCATATTCTAAAGCACTGTATCGATTTTTAATTAAGGTTTAAAATAACTTTCCTGCCAGCCGTTCATTTTATGTTGTAGTTCAGCCTCTGACCACTAGTTGGCAGCAGTGAGCCAGCCATTTGGCTACTCTACCTGTTGAGGTAGAGTCTATTGTTTAGTGTTGGGTGACCATATTGTAAATTAATATTAAAAACTAAAAACTGCAAAATATATATTTTCAAACTATTTATTGTCAAATTTAGTCTAATAATTGAAAACATGGATGAAATAAGAAATATGAAACAAATAAAATAAAACACATACAAAGCAGAACACAGCTAAATGTATCAAAAGTATGTCTATGTAATATTAGAATTTTCTGAGACAATAAATTTTGGTTTTTCTTTTTTTTCCCTGTGTGAGGTTTTTAATTAATAGAATTTTTGGACAAAAAAATCACAATGTATCGCGATATATCGCCTTGCTTATGGTATCGCAATATTCCGGGACATATCGTATCGTGACCCCTCTGTCATGATATGTATTGTATCGCCAAATTCTTGCCAATACACAGCTCTAATAACTATAGATCTGAAGAAATTTATAGTTTAGTACTGAAACACGTATTTCTTACAGTTCTTTTTTCATCTTATTCTGTCTGATCAGGGCTGAAATCTGTGTGTACAAAACTAGGATTATGTGAGGAGTTACATAATTTGATCCCTAAAAGGAAAACAGACAACAATCAAACTGTGTCCTGGTGGACTTTGTGTAGATTTAATTTATCCAGCAGCCTAAGTCTCACAGCAGATTAAAATCCCTGCAGAGGTTTCAGGTTACACGAGCAACATGGTCATTTATTAAATTTTCTGTGTCAGTGAACATGGACTGAGCACATGTAAGAATACTATTTTCTGCCACTTGAAGATTACGCAACTGTTTTTGTCCAAAACTTTGAAAAGCTGCCCTAAATTAAACTTGAAACTTATATATATGCTGTGAAATGTGTTAGTTTTACTCTTTATCTAGTCTACATTTTAACAGTTTGGTATTACTTTATTTATTTTTTCATTTAAATTTTTACCGATGTTGTTTTTCTAAATGTGCTCTCTTGTGTTGTTAGAGACCTGGTATCCTGAGTATGTTAAGTGAGTCTACAGAAAGTCTTTTCCCAGCTAGGAAACAGAATATGTTTTTCTTTGCTATACTCAACACACCTAATGACACTATTAGTTTAATCAATAATTACTTGGAGCTTTTTAAAATGTTGCAGGTGAGTCAGCAGGCCTAAAACATGCATGCATTCAAAGATCATAAACACCATGATCACTCATTAAGTGTCCATGGGGATCAGAAAAACTGCTGACTAAATGATGTTCACCATGTAGCTGTTGCAGCTGCATCCTGTGTAGCTTTTTGATTGATTTTCTTGTATTGATGTCAGTTGAATTGAATGCACTCTGCTAAAAACTGATGTACTTGTTAATATTCAGATTTTTAAGCTAACATGAAAAAGTTGGACACTTCAGCAGGAATAAAGTGTAGCTCATCAATCTAAGATATTCTTTTGAATTATCACTGGGTGCCAAACTCATTTTCACCAAGGACCACATTATGGTGGCCCTCAAAGGGCCAGTTCATAATAATGTTTCATTTTTGACAACAACTAAACATGAAGCATCACATTCCTCATTTCACTGCTACGGCTGAGCACCGCTAACAAACTATAACTGAGCTCTATGTGGTATTCCTGCATAGAAACAGTGTTTCAACTTGTTCTTTTATAAACACTGAAAAGTACTACATGTACAACTGACTAAATGTGAAATAAATAATTTAAAAAATGCTATTAAAAGTAAAAATACTAGATGGGGTATTTTGGATGGTGTTGCCCACTGTTGAGTTGTGGTGATAGCTCAGCTGCTGCTTTGAATTCTGAATTCTCGCATTTTCCGACAGGGAATTTCCACTGGAGAGGCATTCTGGTTCAAAGTAGGAAATTTCCACTTCTCAGTACAACTGGGCCACAGCAGAAGTAACTGGAAAAATGCAGCGAAATGGGTATTTTACACAGCAAATTTTGCTTGCTGCTGGCTATTTTTGAACCTTGCACACCTCCATCTAGTGGTGGGATGCCATCATTTGGCTGGTAAAATAATCCACATGCCTTATGGGAGATGCAGTTTATGGTCAATGCTGACTTCAAAGCTGGACATGCTTATTTTAGGACATTAGTTTATATTTGAAGCTTTCACAGGTCACATAAAATGCAGTTGCGGTTCACATCTTGCCCACGGGCCTTGAGTCTTACACGTGTGCATTATCAGCTATAACTGTTTCAATGATGTTAAAGAGGCTTCTGTTAATCTAATTAACTGCTAAATATTAGATGTTGAAATTGGCTTAAAATTTATCATTTGTAATATCTGTGTCATTTATTTTATTTGCTGGTAACTGATGCTAATTGTGAACAACCTTTAGCACAAGCTAGGCTGCATGGACACTGCAACACTGCTCAATTAAATCAATATATATTTAGAGCTGTGGGACTTATCACCTGTTAGTGACTCCCACAGGTCCTCTTGTTATCTTAATTTCACTGATTGTTCATTAATGAGCATGAAACACATGGAGGACCAGGGTAGTCCCATGAGAATCCAGGTGTTGTCTTCATTAGCTCGCTGTCTGACACCTTTGTTAGTTTAATCTTTGAATGTTTCACCCAATGCTTTGAAATTTCCATATGTATGAAGAGTCTGGGTGCCATCCTAGACAACACATTATTATTTATTTCACAAATCAGTAACGTCAGCAGATTTTTACCTATGTATTATCATTCACCTCCGTTCATCCCTCTCACCCACAGTACTGCTCTTCTGGTTCACTCTTTGGTCACCTTCTGTCTAGATTACTGCAACTCCCCCCTCTTTTTTACCTGCCAAATTCATCCACAAATGTCAAATGGTACAAAACTCAGTTGCTCGCATCATTTCCATCATTTTATCAAAAATAAATTTGATTTTGCATCATTTCTAAATGCCTTGAAATTGCCCTCTGTCTATCTAAGAACCTCCTACCTTTTCAGACACTCCCACTTCAGCATGTATTCACATTATTATTGTTATTATTATTATTATTATTATTATTATTATTATTATTATTATAGTAAGCATTTGCAAACCAAACAGAATTATTTGAGCAAACAAAGTGTAATGTAATCTGTTGAGGAAAACGGAGAAACATTGTACTAATAGACAAACTTAAGCTCCCATGTGACCTAACGTGTTCCCAGGTGTTCAGCATCAGAATAATCAACCAGCAGCTGAACAAAAATAAGTAAATGTTCTCAAAAAGCTGCCCTGCAGCAGTATTGCATTGATAATTCAGGGTTTGGACCCAAACAGCTCTAATTCTGTCATTGCTTAACAAAAGATAATCTCAGTTTAAAACTCTGGCACAAAAGATTGCGAAAGGTCTCACTTTACTCCTTAAGACCAATGAATGAACCCTGACCTTCATCTGTGAAGGGACTTTAGAAGCAAAAAGAACAAAATATGAGTTTTGCAGGGAGGTGACACATATTCACATACAGGTAACGCCTACCAAAATAAATGGACCAGGCAGGAGCTTCAGTGCAAAGTTCAATGGTTGCAACAAGGCCTCAACACTTCCAGGCAAATGCAAAGCCATTCAAACCAAGAGTTTGTGATTTGCTTATTGAAATATTAAACCAAGTATTTAAATGAGTTTTGATTAGCCATGGATAAATAATATGAAGTACTGCATTTTACCAGGGGTCAGTCAAGAAAAAAGTTTTTAACTATACTGTTTCTAAATAATCATAAATTTTAAAAGGTAAGTCAAAAATATTTACAACCCACACCGGTTCCTGTTTATTAAATTGATTGCAACAACTTATATGATCACAAGTCATAGAAATCTCTGCTGTGGGAACTCACAGAAAGAACGAGAATGAGGATATGGTGAGAACAAGGAATCTACGGCCGTGGAAAAATCAAATAAAATAATTTAAATTCATTATGTGAGGCTGTTGGACAAATTCTTAGACCGACTCCATTCTGATTTTATCATTTGGCATTTTTTTATATTTATTTTCTTTCTTTTTTTTATTTATTTTTTGCTGACTGAACGGTCACACTAATATTGTTGTGTTTTTCCATTGCTTGTCTTTTTTTATCTTCGTTAATGACTCACTCCTTTTATTAAAAATCAGTCATCCCTCAGTGTCTACGCTACATTTTTTTATAGTTTGTAGTTGACTTAAAACCTGAAAACCCATTCAGAGATTAAAGTAATAATTCAGTAAATATAAGTTCTAATCTTGCAACGTGATTGCGATTGTTCTGAAATCTTTTTTTTTTTTTTGCACCAAGAAAATATCATCAGCAGCACCTGAGATCAAATGATGGACTTACATATTTTTACTGGAACACCAGTAGCACCAGTTGTTCCACTCCAGGCGAGCTGARTGATGGATGACCGGCCACTTGTGACATCTGAGATATAAGAAGAACAAGTGTGAGGCTGTGTAAAGATAGAACAAGTTCAGCTACCAGTTAGCCTGGCCCTTGCCTTCCTACGCAGCTCCGCTCAATTCTAGTTTCCCTTCACTGCTCCGTCTGGGACTTCTCCCATAGACAAGGATTTCGCTGGCAGATTTTTAGCTGGACAAATCAGAGAACAGAACGTCAATTTTCTGTGCAGTGCCAGCTTGTAGTTTATTTTACCTGGGCCAATCAGA